AAAAAAGGAAAAAAAAAGAATTAACAGGTTGGTTTCTGTGACTGATATAAGATGGTCTGCCCAAAACACAGCTCAGACCATTACCAATAGTGGAAGAAAGGCTAGCCACACCCAGCCCTGTAGAAAAGGCTTATCTGGAATCACACCACATGTGTTTAAGCATGAGTAGAGTACAAGAGATTTTCTTCTGGCTGCTCAATGCTGTCTGGCAGATAAATGGTCTAGTGCTCACTTCTGCTTAGAGGAATACTCTTTGCTCTTTTGGACATCAGGCTTGATGGTACCACTGCCAGGTTTCCAGCCAGCTGGGTACACTTCACCATGTTTGTCAGTGAACTGAAAGGCCTGGACTAGTCTCAGAACCTCATCCACAGAGCGGCCAACAGGAAGATCATTTATTGTTATCTGGCGAAGGGTACCTTTATCGTCAATAATAAAGAGGCCCCTGAAAGAGATACCTTCATCAGCCTTTAAGACTCCATAATCCTGAGCAATGGTGCGCTTGGGATCTGATATTAAGGGAATGTTCATGGGTCCCAGTCCTCCTTGCTTCTTGGGTGTGTTAATCCATGCCAGATGACAGAAGTGAGAATCCACAGAAGCCCCAATCACTTGGCAGTTAATTTTCTTAAATTCTTCTGCTCTATCACTGAAAGCAATAATCTCCGTGGGACACACAAAAGTAAAGTCAAGAGGGTAAAAGAAGAACACAACATATTTTCCTTTGTAGTCACGTAGGCTGATATCTTTGAACTGTCCATCTGGCATAACAGCTGTAGCTTTGAAGTTGGGAGCGGGATGCCCAATTTTTGCATTTCCTGAAGACATCTTGCTATCAGCAGGGTGGAGCCACAGGTCTCACGAACAGAAGCAACCGTGAGAACACAGGAAGAGGTCCTCTCTCTCTCTTTAATAAAAAAAATTGTATATACTTAGAAGTATTCAGAATGTCAACAAAACAGCCGGAATTTTTTTTTTTCAGTTACAGAGTGTTATTCAGTTAACAGAACAACAATTATCTTCGTATAAGCTGCATCAGAGACAACTGAAGATGGAAAGGAAAAAACTCAAAAATAAAACCAAAAGAAAAGAAAAACAAAAAACCAAACTACCGTCCCCACATATAATTAATTTGTGCTGTGCACCAACAAGAACCTGCTTTAAATTTCCATGCCAACTTACACCCCCAGATTGTACCACACAAGGCTAGTGGCTATTGAAAATACCACCAGGACAGGGCTATCTAAAGACACATTCGGTAGTGTGTTAACCATGCAAAAAAAGACACTGTACAATTTAAAAATAAATCTTACACAGCCTTACATTTCAATCTTTTTGTTTAAAAGGAGTGAGTTGTGTATAGGGGGGTTAAATGGTTTATAGACAAGAAAAAAACCTGCACTAGAACCAACTTGTTCATCATCATTTTCTTCATCATCATCATCATCTTCCTCTTCTTCCTCCTCTTCCTCATCCTCTTCTTCCTCCTCATCATCTTCCTCTTCCTTTTTCTCTGCATCACATTTTCCTCTAGCTCTGTAGGCAGCAATATCCTTCTCATACTTCTCCTTCAGCTTGGCAGCCTTCTTCTCGTAGGGCTGCTTGTCATCCGCTGCAGTGTTGTTCCACATCTCTCCTAGCTTCTTTGCAACATCACCAATGGATAAGCCAGGATGCTCGCCTTTGATTTTTGCGCGGTACTCAAAACAGAACAGGAAGAAGCCGAAGGAGGCCTCTTGGGTGCATTGAAATCCTTGAACTTCTTTTTGGTCTCCCCTTTGGGAGGGATGTAGGTTTTCATTTCTCTTTCATAACGAGCCTTGTCAGCCTTTGCCATATCTTCAAATTTCCCCTTTTCTTCAGCAGACATAGTCTTCCACCTCTCTGAGCACTTCTTGGAGAACTCTGAGAAGTTGACAAAAGCATCTGGGTGCTTCTTCTTGTGCTCCTCCTGGCAGGTTTGCACAAAGAATGCATATGAGGACATTTTGCCTCTCGGCTTCTTAGGATCTCCTTTGCCCATGTTTAGTTGATTTTCCTCTGTGAGAGGCACAGAGTCGCCCAGTGCCTGTCAAGCTCTCGCTTGCCCCGGCACTGTCTCTATGGAGCTCAATGTACCGCAATTCCTTACAACTCTCAAAATTCAATCCCATCTTCTCCATTGTCTGTAATTGGACTTCAGTTTTGCTTCAGTCTCTAGCTTGTGTTTGTTTACAACGCCTTTCTCCTTTCCTTGGTTATTTTTAACCATCTCTGTTTTCCTAAGGGGTTATTCACTTAAACGGCATATTCAAGTCTAATTAAAGGGGGATGCCAGTAGCAACTGCTTTAAACCATTAACAAGGCTATTTTTGTACTAGAATCAAGCCAGGAGTGATGCCCGAGCATTTAATGCCCACTAAAATCAGTGAGACATCAACACCTGCCCTTGGATGGTAAATCAAGGGGGAAGTCTTTGAGGGCTTAGCCTACGGCACTTAGTACACAGCACTGATTGATAAAGGAGAACTTTGGAGGTGCGTGATGTCTTCCACGGGACACGAATCCTTCCTCCATGACCGGAGTTAACTAATCTCACTGAACATTTAACAAGAGAAGGAAAGAGTATTGCCTAAGAGAGAGAGTGAAACGGATTCCACAAACCAAACTCAAACCCCAACCTTCCCAGCTGTGGTACTCAGTTTGCAACCTCGGGTGACTAAAACAAAGTGCGAAATTCGTATTTTATCATCGGCGAAAGAGAGTGTAATGAAGGCAGCTGAGAGGAAAGCCGAGCTCCACGTTCGCGTGCCTGCTAAAGGGAAGGAGATGACGCCCCACCCTCCACAAAGGAGCGGCTCTCAGAAACTCTAATGGGAAAATTCCTTTTACCTTCCTAGGGTTTCCTACCCTCTGGTGGAGCCTTTACTTGAATTCTTCTTCTCCATTCACTCTTCTACGTATTCAAAGCCAGGAGCCTCCAGTTCCTGTGCTCCCCCACTCTGATCCCACTATCCATATCCGTGCATATGAACAGTGCTTTATGGCAAGGGCGCCCCAAAGTTTCATAGTCACAGGAAGTGACGTTAGTTGCTCAAAGCTCATTGGTTTTACGTCTCAAAGGGACGCTAAAAGCTCTTAGACATCAGAGAGAGGCTGAGATGGATTCTCATTTGGGGTAAAACTCCCGGAGTCGCATATGTCTGTAATCCCCAAGCTGGGGAAGCAAGACAGGAGGATCGCTAGGGCTTGCTGCCCAACCAGGTTACCCAAGTCAGGGAAATTTGGTGAGAGAAAGCATACCAAAACATAATGTGGAGCCAGGCATGGTGGTGTGTGCCTTTGATCCCCGGCAAATCTGATCCCCGGCAAATGTGATCGGGGTTTTATGAGTTCAAAGCCAACCTGGTCTACACAGGGAGTTTTAGGGCAACAAAAGCTACATAGTAAGACCCTGTCTCAGTGATGCTGGATGATGGTGTGTGTGTGTAGGGGGGGGAGTGATGATGATGGTGATGATGGTGGTGTTGATGATGATAGTGATGATGATGATGAGCAAGAAACAGAAGGACGAGGAGGAGAAAGAGGAACATGATTGAGAAGACAGTCAATAACCTCAGACTTCAACGCACACAAATGCACATAGACATACGGACTCCCAAACTCCCAAGCACACACATGTGGATGTACCTAAGACAAATACTTCAACAGCCACAAATTGCTCTCCCCACTCCCTGGGAACCCATGAAGAACACATATGGGCTATGTTGGCCACAGCTGGATCAAATCCATGCAACATGTGCTTAGCTGAACTTGGGCTCAACTTGATCAGTCGCTGACTTGATCAGTCGCTGCGGTCAGTCCCATGAAGCAGCTGTGGCTGCAGGATTTGTCCCGCCGACTACTTGACTAGGCAAAGCTAAAGATTTCGATACTCTCAGAGTTAGTATCATCCGCCCTTTAGCAAAGGAGTTATATTCCCTCTTGCTTCTGTAGGCTTTCTGGATTTGTTTCCTAGAAGCAGAAACAGATTTGATACTCAAATCTGAACAGAGACACAACCTCGAACTCGAAACTGCCAAAAGCCCCAGTTTCTTGATTTACTTAAACTGACTCATCCTATAGATATTTAAAGTAACAAAAAACTCTGTGTATTCTACTTAAAAGGGTGAAAACTCTGGCCTTTCCTCTTGTTTCTAGATGTCTCTTTGGTTCAGTTTACTTCCAATAACAATCTTGAACCTAAATATTATGTTTTATTAACTTAGTGTTTTATCACTTACCATTTAAAACTTAAATTATCTGACTCCTTCTATTTTCCTAAGAGAGGACAAGAAGCCTGCTTCTCACTGATGGTGAGCCAAGAATATGCTGACAGAACATTGGAGAAGCTGGGCTGCATCCTGGCAGGGGAACATCAACTGAGGGAAATGTCCTCAGATCTGGAAAATGACTCATTGTCTAGGAACTAACTGCGTTTAACTCACAGACTTTGTTCCAAATGAGCAAACTGAAAGTTCTTCAAGAGAAGCTACATAATAATAATAAAAAAAATACCCAGAGCTGTCAAGCAAGGAATTACATATTATAAATTTCATTGACTTGTAATGATATTAGTTTCTAGAGCATCTGTGGAGCAAATTGATTGTTTTTCAAACTAAACCACATCAATCACTAAGTGCATCCTGAATTGCTCCGAGAATTGGCAAACTCCTCGTGCCCGTGTGTGCTCTGCTCGAGCCTCTGGTCCTGTGCTAGCCACTGACTCAAGCTGCATGTTGATTAAAGCAAAGTGGTAGGAGAAAACACAAAAACGTTCATAAGAGCAAAATTATAGGCACATTCCTGATGCGGGTTGCCCTGGTGCTGTTTGTATTCTGATGTTAATTCTGCTTCCTCAAGAGGGGCTGAGTAGATCACATATTCAGGTGACTTCACATGAACCTTCTCCCCATTCTAACTGGTCAAATAAAGACGAGAGCCTGTGATTGGTCAGTGGAAGGAAAGGTGTGTCTGGAGGTTTTAGAGAGTGGAGGAAGGGTTGGGGAGGAGGAGGAAGATGGAGGAAGAAGAGGTGGAAGGAAGAAGGAGCAGAACCACAAGGCCCAGAGAAGCCGCAAGCAGCAAGGGATCTCATAGCTGGGGAATAGAGTAGTGTAGTGGTAGATCTGCCCAATCTAGGCATACAGCTTATAAATATAATAACTGAGTTATGTGGTTTTGCATGGGCTTATTGGGGTTGGAAGTTTACTTCAACACATTCCAAACTGGCAACAGATGTACAGGAGAGAGGTTACAGCGAAGAGATAATTTGAAGCCAGGTACGGTGATATATGCATTTATTTCCAGCACTTAGTAGGATGACACAGTAGGGTTGAGAGTTCAAGGCTAACAGGCTACATACCAAGCATCTCTGTATGTATGTGTGTGTGTGTGTGTGTGTGTGTGTGTATACATATATATATTGAGGAAATCAACCTAATAAAATCCTTGTTAGCCTAAGGTCACACTCCTTCCAAAAAAAAAAATGCATGCACAAATGCACATACACACACATTCACAAACTCTACACACAGACATGCACAATATTGCAGCTGTCACTGGTTTAAACCACACCTCACCAGGCTGGCATCAAAGGGATTGCCTATGTTTACGGAAGAGGAGCCCATCAAGAAAGGAAAAAAAGAAAAAAAGTATTCATGTGATAAGTTGGACTGTGAAAATAAAATTCATATTACTTCCCTACTGACAAGCAGTTACCAGACTAGAAAAGTAGCCCAAAATTTAAATCTGCAACTTAGACATCATCATAAATCCGAATTAATGACAGCTCCAGGTAACACATCATCCAACACTGTAGGCAACACTAAAATACTTCCATAGCAACTGTCACCAAGGGCATCATCAGGATG